TCTCTCGTTCATTATCACTGGAGTAACAACACATACCGAAGTGTGGATTGAGAAATGTCCTGGACGCATAAAGGACTTTGCAAATTGATATCAATTCATTAACTTTGTCTTTTAGTTTTTTCCTTTCATGTACTAAAAAAGAACTTAACAAATTAAGAAAAGTTGAAATTTTAAGTTAATGTCTTTACCTAATTAAAATATATATGATCTGGTTGATAAGTATAATTTAATTAGTAAATAAGTTATTAGGTAGTAATAATCATGGGTCGAAAAATCCCAACAAATTAATTTGACCAAATTAAAAAGTTCCACATTAAAATTGAGATTTAAGTACAAATTTAAAAGTTCAAAAAAAAATATATATATATATATATACACATGATTTTCTATCCTAAAATTATCATGGTATTCAAGCTTGACCAAAATTACTATTCTTCTACTGTCAATCACTAGGATCTCAACTTTAGGCTATTAAAGGAAACAAATGAAAATAAATAAAAAATCAATAAATAAAATCATTTTCTCTCTTTTTCTTTATTCTTCTTTTTTTCCCACTTAAAGAAATTTTTTAAGAAAGTGAAAATCATGATGGGTTATTTGATAAAGCATTTCATCTCTTAAAAGATTAAAATTTTAATTTTATCAATATTTTATTTTTTCCAAAGTTGCTTTTATGGCTTAAAGTTTTATTTCATTCTAACTTTTATATATTTTAGTGAGCCCAAAAAAATCATTGCATTTTATCTAATTTTCTTAAATGTAAACTCTAAATACTTGATATTATTTGGTTCAATTATGTTTTCTTCAATTGTAGGTCGGGTCAACTATCAATCTACCTAGTCTATTAGAGTTATGCTCGAATAGTTGTCAGATTCACCCATCAAATTGTGCTTTTAAAATCTTATAATTTTGCTCCTTAGTCTTAATTTATTGATCTCAACAGTCTCGTTTTTTTTGTTCAAACACGATTTTTTTAATAAAAAAGGAAAATGTACAAAAGCTCTATTGGTCTCTGTCATTCTACGAGTCTCTCCATTTTTACGTATGGCATCGCATAATGCTAAAATGAGCACATGATTATTTTTAATTCAACAACATGAAGATTCGAACATTTGATTTTTTGGTCAATGATATATATACTTAACCAGTTAAGTTATGTTTAGGTTCGGTTGTTGGATCTCTATTGTTAATCAAAGTGTTAAGTGTAATGATAAATATATGATGTAATATTGTTATGGACTCACCAACTAGCTAATCAGACGCGAGCCCCTCTTCGAGCTTTTCCGTTGTCTTTTTCGAATTCCTTTTCACCCTTTTGATATCGGGTGTGAATCAAGATAAATGGAAAAAATCCCTGAATTTAATGGAAAAACCACTAACAATTTTTTTTTCTAACAACCATTAATGTGGTAGAGACCATTGGGGTTGAATAGATTAAGATACAAAATTAATTATTCAAATAAAACTCTCTCATATCCAATTAATTTTTATCAATAAATTATTTTATAGTATCAAATTATTAATATCATACGAGTAACCAAAATAAAAACTTTACTTACAATATTAGAAAAACCATTGTAAATACAAAAGATAAAAATGATAGGTTAAATGCAGAGTTTCACTATATTGCATTAGGGGCAATTTTTTTTCCCCTCACTAGAATGCCATAAAAGATTCTGGAAATTTAAGTGGGAAGTTATTTTTTAAAAATATTTGTAAATTTGCCTTTTTACAAAATAATTACAAATATAGTATCTTAAAGATTAAAAATTCAACATTTTAAAACTTTTATTAATTACTTAGATTTATTTTGGTAATGGTAAATATATTTTTTATTAATCGGTTAATCGTTTGATTTCCATCGTAATGATTGATCTAACTATAATAATGGTAATCCCTAATTAATTTATTTTTAGTATTACAATTTAAATATGAGAGCAATTCGACCCTACTGCCTTTTAAAAGAGATTTCCAATATTTTGACCATTTGAGTTATCCTCGTATCAGCAATTAACTTTAATATTTATTGACTACATTTTTCTTTTTCTTGAGTTTAACAATTGCGGGAGTAGAAATCGAACCATCAAACTTTGGAATAGTAATAGTAAAATCGACCATCACTATTGACTTTCTTTTAGTAATTGACTTGTTTTATTATATTTGTAAAATCTACTATCATGATCCAAATGAATTGTAAGGATGGATTTATTTTACATATTAGAATCAATAGTCACAAATTCGTGATTATGCAGGGAAAAGTTTCTTTAGTTCTTCATTCCCATGACATTTTGAATTTTTTATTTTGATTTCTAGATTTTCAAATATTTAATTTTAGCCTCTTAATTTTCTAACATTTTATTTCAGTCTCTAAATTTTTTATAAAAAAAAATGTTTTTGTTCCTATGTTACTTTTATTAATCATTAAAATCAAATAAATCCAAATTTGTTTTAAAACATTTAATCTAATACATATGGCTTGAATCACTAACTCATTTAGAAATTTATTCAAAAATGGGAAAAAAGAAAAAAAGAAACATGTGTTGTGAGTTTTTATTACTTTTAGTGCAACATTTAAGGTTTAAAACAAAATATTAGAAAGTTTCACATTAACAATAAAAATTCATAAGCTAAAATAGAACTTTTTTAGATTGGCCTCAGCTAGACATTATATAAGAACTCTGCGATGGTTGCTTGTTTACGATGTTAAAATCCTACAAGATTTGTGACTACCAAGGATGTTACTTTCATGTAATAAGAACAAGTCACTCGCTCGAATGGAGGAATTTCAATTTAGCAACTTGGGGGTGGGGGAATTTTTTTTTTTTTTCCGTTATATAAGCGGGGAGGAGATGGGGAGTATGTTCCCCGTTCCCGCCCCATTTATTTTATGTATTATCATTATCTATTTTAAAATTATAAACTGTTACAAGACATTGTTGACTTATATGACATTGTTGCGATGTTTATGTTTTGAGACTTATTTGAATCGATAATTTGAAGGGTGAAATTCAGATTTTAGAATTATGAAGCATTTTCATAAAATTCAAGAATTTTTCATTTTAAATGGGGTTCCTCGTGCGTATTTAATCATTTAATTGGAGATTTTCCTTAGATAATTAACATTTAATTGCATATTTTCCCATCTCCGCCCCAATGACACTCCTACTAATAACCAAATATCGTAGAGCTTAATAGTTCATTTGTAAGCTGGTCCAAACAGTTACGGGTATAAAATCGGAAAAAGAAATCCAAATTGGGATTGGTTCTTTATTTTTTATTTTTTTATTTTTTATTTTGGTTGGGTAAATTATAAAAGTGTAATTGAAATGAGTAGCATCATTTTAAATTAAACAAAAAGGGAAAAAAAATAATAATTGGAGTGGGGGGTAATAATGAGCATAATGAGAAATGAGTAGGAAAAGAGGACGGGGTCCGTCTTGGGAAGCTTGGGGTACTTCCGTAATTTTAACAAAACCATCATGTCAATTTCGTCATTTCACGCCCCAGCTGGTGGGCCAATCATGCCGTGTGCGTGCCATTTTTTTGATTGATTTCATCTCAGCCGTTCATCTTTCTCCACGTGGGCCCCCCTCCCGCTCCGGTCTTCTTGACCATCCAATCCCTCGCCCTTCACACACGTGGATTCGAGCGCCCGTTTTAATTATTCCACTTTTTTTTTCTTTTTTCTCCGTCGAAATTCCTTTTTGCCCCCCTGGAATCTCTCTGATTAATCCGGTTCGGTCTACTACTTCAACCGTCCGGTTCATTCTCGAAAAATAATATAGTCAATCTATTAAAATTGGCCTGGTTCGATGATTTTGGTTTTTCAAAATTATGCAGGTTTGCTCAACCATTTATTTGGTATGTTTTCACATTTTTAAAAGTTTAAAACAAATTTTTGAAAACTACAGTCCCATTTGAGGGATGTCTATTTTATTTTTGGTTTTCTATTCTTCAGAATTAAGCTAGTAAATATTGTTTTCACCTATGAATTTCTTTGTTGTGCACTTAGTTTTTAAAAATATTTTCAAAATCTAAGTTTGACTTTGAAAACTATAAAAGGTAGTTTTAAAAAATTTGCTCTTGTCCTTAAATTTGGCTAAGAGTTTAAGTGTATTTTTTAAAAAAGAAAATAAAACATACTTAAGAAATAGTGAGAAAACAAACATAACTTTCAAAAAGCATTAGCAAGAGTGAAAAGTAGTATTTTAGTTCAATTGTGGGCAAACAAACAAACACTATGGTTATCAAATCGAATCGTAATTTTTTAGTTTTCAAATTTTAGCTTAGATTTTAAACTCAACTCTAAAATGTAGATAGCAAAACAAAGATATACACAAGTAAAGATTTACAAGTTTAATTTTAAAATAAAAAACTAAATAGTTATCAAACGAATCCTAAATGTACCTTATTGATTCTAAAGTTTAAGAACTAAACTTATAATTTAACCCGAGTTAAAATTCACTAATGGCCTCTATACTTTCATCAAAGTAATGATTTAGTCCATGTACTCTCAAATTTAAAATAATTAAGTATCTAAAATTTAGTATGCAACAATTTAATCTTTATGATTTAAAATTTATAACGATTTAGTTCCTAGGTAGATCAATAAAATACAAGACAAACATATTTATAAAACTACAAAAACTAAAATTATTACATAATAAAAATAAACATTTAATTTTGATGAGGTTATTCATATTAGGAATTAAATTGATAAGAATTTTTTACTACCAAAGCTCAGGCACGACGACAAAATTATTAACCTTATTATAGGGAAGAAAAAGAAAAAAAGCGGTTAAGTAAAACCGAACCGGTGGAGTAATTAGAAGAAAAGGGGAGGGTATAATCGGAAAAGGAAGGAATTTTGGTTAGGGAAGATGCGTGCGGGGTCAGTACAATTCATGGGAAATTCATGGAGAAGAGATGACGTGGCGGAACGTGATTGGAGAAGGAAGTAGAGAGAGAGAAATAGAGAGAAAGAAAAGGGAGAGAGAGAGAGCTCCGCAGAAAGGAAGAGAGGGCTGGGCATGGAAGGCCTGGCCATGCTTAGGCAGCTAATCGCTCAGCTTCAGGAGCTCTTGGAATTCTACGATTCTCATCCTCCGCCGCCGCCGCCACCCCCGCCGCCGTCGCCGCCGCTTCATCCTCTTCCTCAACTGCCTCTCACCCTAGCTCCTTCTCGCCAAAGGTATCTCTCTTACGCGCTTTCATCTCCCTCCGATCTCTCTCTTCTTTCTGTGCTCTGCTGTTCAATGCTTCTCTTCCGGTTCCAGAAATGCCATTTTTGAGCGCTTATAGTGACGTATTCGTAGCTATTTTGGTGGATATGTCTGTTTCTTTAATGTGATTCCGCTGTCGCTGTTTATGACCTCTTCTCTCTTGCTTTATCTTCTTTCTCTTCGTTTTTCGTTATTCTTGTTTGTTTTCCTCTTCCTGCTCTCTTGATTGTTCCTTCTTGTTTCTGTTGCATAATGTAATTTCACTTCCGTTGAAATTCGAAGTGGAGGAGGAGAATTGGAATTCAATTTGTGATTTAATTGTGGTTACTCCAGGCGTTTGTTAGAATGTGTGATTGAATAATCCACAGCTTCCTCAAACTTAGCTGCTTTTGTTGATAAGTAATTCATGTCAAGTGGGGAGGTGGAGTCCTTGGATTTGTTATGGGCAGCCCCTTTTTAGGAAGAGGAGGAAAAGAGATGACTGAGCAACAAAAAGGAAAGCTCTCAAAAGTTGGAAGGAATCTGAGAAGTCGAAACTGTGCTCAAGGAAACTCTAGAAGATTTTATGATAAACATGTTACCTAATTGAAATTATTGGGTTGATTGACATATTATGTTTTGTTACTTGCATTTGGATTTATTTTGTGCTTGTGGCACAAATAAATCTGAGGTATTTACTATATTTGTACTTGTTGGTGGCATAGTCAAAGATACCAAAAATGAAGTGATTTAGTCAACCTTACATGAGTGAGTAGCAGATCACTGTCTACAGTAATCGGACTGGAATTACAGTGGGTAGACCATAACACGCTCGATGATAAAACACACACTATATAATGTTTAGTCTGCATTAGCGATTTCGATACCGGGGAAAATTCACCTCAACAAACTGGGAGGAGGTGCAATAGTAAGACCTATGTTGTTTGGAGACATAGTTGAAGAATTGTGTAAACGTGAGTAGGTTATTTATATTGACTACCTGGTAATATATCAAGCCTAAGTCGATGAAAATCTTGAACGAACTGGAGATGTATTCTTCTAAATAATGGCTGCTGAATTTTATCTGTCGTTCTGTTGCAAAGCTACCTGAATGAGGGTCCAAGTTATTGTGGCTAAGAAAACTAGTGGCCTAATTGAAAATGCATATATGTAGGATGGTTTGTTTCATTTAACGTCTAGGAACCATGGAATTTGCTATTTATCTTATTTTCAATTCATCAAGAAAGTAGGTACGTAACACATAGTTGCATTTAGGAGAATGGTCATCTTTTCCTCTTTTAGTTTCGATTTACGTTTGAATTTTTTGCAATAATTATTATTTTTCATAAATGCATCATTTTGGCTCTTTTTTCACATTTATTTGATCCCTATACTTCTAAACAAGTGGCCATTTTAGTCCTTGTTTGTATAATTGGTACACAAATTCTGTATACATTGGAAACCCTTTAATAAAAGTTTATGGCTGCATTTCAAGAAATTATTGAGTGTAATATTGTGCTGAAATTTTCATCTAAAAGACTGAGATTAAAAATAAAATGCAGGTACCAAAATGGTTACTTTTTAAACGTATAGGGACCAGAACAGACGCTTTGACTCTGAAAATATAATAGACAAAAGCTTAAAGTAGAGATCAAAATAGATAAATACCAAAATGAACCAAGCTGAAAATATAGGGACCAAAAAGTATTTAGAACTTTTTTTTGGGCGGGGAGTGGTTCTTAGAACATTTATTTCCAGCATTAGAATGAAGCCTCCATACAGGAAGTGTCTGGTCTCAACTTCTAAGACATTTTCCTAGGTAGACTTTTCTACATTTCAAGTTGCCTCCTCCCAAATTGTAGTTATGACCAACCCAATTCAAGCTTGGCATGATTTTCATCTCTTTCGTTGAGAATGGGCTGCATCTTAATAATGCAGATCGATAAAATTAGTGATACAAACTAAGACAAAAACTATTTGAAAGAAATTACTTGGAGGACTTCTTTATGTTTCAATAGTTATATGTGTGTAGCTGCAAATTCAGTTTGGCATGGAGATGTTCTGCTTGTTTGACGGATGTGCTTCTTGTCTGGTCTTAATATTTTTAGGCTAGATATTCTCTAATGCAATTGAGATGCAATCGATGTTTGGGAATATGCATGGAAGTTGGATACGGATATCCAGTGACCAAGTCATTCTATTATAGTATCGCCAATGAACTGTTCTGTCAATTGCAGTGAAATGGATTACATTGAAAACGTACTAATAACATCATCGTGAAACAAACCGACCGGTGCTAGAGTGTTATGATTTGAATGGGTCGGTTTTTCCTCCTTTTGCGTTTTGGATTCTCCTTCAAACTTGTCAGGTTAAATGATATATGAAATTTGTTGAGAACTCTTGTCTGGAGTAGTTTTTGACCATCTTCAATTGACTTGTGCACAGATGGTGCTTCAAAGATATTGATGACAACTCTGCAGATGATTATTATGGCCTTGTAATGGCAGCTGGTAGATCAGGGAATTGTAAGATGACAGAATCTTGCATACTTCCACCTGTAAAGAAATCAAGAAAGGAGCGGAACCGAGGAAAACTGTCTGGATCAGCAGCAACAACTGAGGTGATGGAAGAAGAAATTTGGAAAGATTTCCCAGAAGACCTTTTCGAAGCTGTCATTGCTAGACTTCCCATTGCTACATTCTTTCGCTTTCGTGCTGTTTGTCAAAAATGGAACTCGCTGCTAAACTCTGAAAGTTTCTCTCTTTACTGTGCCCAAGTCCCACAAATCACCCCCTGGTTTTATACCATTACACACGACATGGTTAGTTCAGGAGCCATATATGACCCTTCTTCGAAAAAATGGCACCATCCATCCATTTCATCTCAGCCTATAAAGCTACTTGTCCTGCCAGTTGCATCTGCTGGAGGCCTTGTGTGCTTGCTCGATTTCAGCCATAGGAACTTCTATGTATGCAATCCTCTAACTCAATCTTTTAAAGAGTTGCCAGCTAGATCAGTTGAGGTGTGGTCTCGTGTTGCGGTAGGGATGACTCTAAACGGGAGTTCGACCAGCGGGGGCTATAAGATCTTATGCCTCGGCTGTGATGGAGAGTACGAGATTTATGACTCCATAAAAAACTCTTGGATTCACCCTGGGAGCATTCCTTCTAATATTAAGCTTCCGTTGTCCCTGAACTTCCGCTCACAAGCTGTCTCCATTGACAGCACACTTTACTTCATGCGTTCAGACCCTGAAGGGATTGTGTCCTACAACATGGTCACTGGGGTTTGGAAGCAGTTTATAGTTCCCGCACCGCTACATCTGACAGACCATACACTTGCAGAGTACGGGGGCCGGATCATGCTCGTGGGGTTGTTGACGAAAAACGCTGCCACGTGCGTGTGCATATGGGAGCTGCAGAAGATGATGCTCTTATGGAAGGAGGTTGACAGAATGCCAAACATATGGTGCTTGGAGTTTTATGGAAAGCACGTTAGAATGAATTGCTTGGGAAACAAGGGGTTGCTCATGCTGTCCTTGAGATCGAGACAAACGAACAGATTGGTTACGTACAACGTGGCGAGCAAGGAATGGTCGAAAGTTCCCGGGTTGCCTCGTGGGAGGAAGCGCCAATGGATAACATCCGGGACTGCATTTTACCCTTGCCCGACTGCTGTGGCTTGACTTAGCTTAGCTTCTCGTCGGCTCCGCAGCCACGTCTCATTTGAAAAGCTGCTCGTTAACATGTAAGCTTTATTTCTTCTTTCCACGCAAGGCTTTTTTGCTGCTGATTTTCTTCATCTTGTAGTTTTGTTTTTGATGATCAGTTAGAATGGTAGTTTGAGTTTATTTTTCTCAACAATCAGACTCTTGTGATTCTCTGGTGTACAAACCTGTGTACAAAATAACTTTAAAATGTCAAAAGACAAGTTTAAGAATTTCCATTTCTCTGGGCTGGGAATTGTATAATATCTTTGCTTCCAAAAAAGAAACTGCAATAGTTCCTTCTTTTGGGTCAATAATTTTGTATGATGGCAGATGACAAAGTCTCCATTTTAGATATTTTATCATGGTTGTTTTCACCCTATCACTAATATTAATATTCAATCTTTGAATGGAAAAATAGCTTAATTACAAATTTAGTTCATAAACTTTTTAAGTGATATCTATTTTGGTGTTTCAACTTCAAAATATTTTTTAATTATGTTTTTAATTTTCTTGTTTTTGGAACTAATAAGTTGTGTCATTAGTACTGTTGCTTAAATGTTGATGTAATACTTTGGCCAAATTTTTACTTTAAAATGTATTTTACTTGCTTTAAAATTTTCGTCCTTCCAACTTCTATATTTTAGGCTTGAATGGCTATTTTTCACTAATTTAAAACACTTCTCAATTATTTTAATGTTTTATTAGATAAACAGAAATAATTTTAGAAATCCTAAAAAGTAAAAACACTTAAAAAAGAACTATAAAGTACTTTTGAAAAAACATACGTGTGTGTTTTTTTGTGTTTGGCCTGTCCTTTCAAGTACTTATGCAGAATTTCAGTGCTTATAAAGGAATAAAAGTATATATATATATATATATATATATATATATATATATATATTTATTTATTTATTTATAAATTGATGGTGTTGGATTAAAATGTTAAATAGTAAATATACTTCTTCTTTTCTTTTCTTTTCTTCTTTTCTTCTTTTCTTTTTTTTTTAACAAGATAACATACCATTTATTAATATAAGTGCATGAGGAGGCATATATTTTACTGTCACGCTATAGTTGAACCTTAGATTTATAGAACATTAGATCAAAGATTCAACGAAACAAAATAAAAAGAAAAAATATGGACCATTTGAATTAGAGATGTCGAAGCTCTCTTTTATAAGATCTTCAATGCGGCAAGGAGCCATGTGGATGTTGAATTATTTCAAGAAAAAGAGAAAAAAAAAGAATGAATATGTTGAAAGCTTCGAATAGAAAAATAGTAAATATACTTTTAACTTTTTAATCCATTAAAAAAAATACTTTTTTAAAAAATTTTGACAAGCAGGAAATTTTGAGAAGTCCTATAAACTAAAAACCAAAAATATAAAAAATAAAAAATAAAAATTTTAAAAGTCATTTAGATGAGACATCTAATTAGTTTCTTATTATTTTTATTTTATTTTATTACTTTTTCTTTTTTTACCAAAATTATTCGTTAGAAAAGTAAAAGTATTTCACTAAAATAATATTCATTAAAAAATTAGTTCACTAAAAAAACACTTTGGCTAAAAGTACCCCAAACTCTCCTTGAAAGTAAAATTCTGATTCTCAATTTAGTCATCTTTTAAAGCTATTTTCAGCTAAATTCTTTTTTAAAAAAGTTACAAAAAGTGATGTATTATTCTATTATTATTTTATTAACATATTAAAGACACGAAACATACCACCACATAAGAGCCACCAAACATCTACATAATGAATAATTTAAACAAAGCATGGGTTTAATTACACATTAATTACTACTAACAGATTTTGTTCGGACGAGGAAAATTGAAAATTTTAAAAGATCAAGGACCAAATTGAAAAAATCTAAAAAAAGAGGGACTAGTAAATCAATAAAGTCATAATTTTGATACCAATTGTTAAGATTAGCCAAAGCTTGGTTAGTGGGGATAAACTCAACTAGGATGAGTATGTCCTTAGCGGAAGAAGGGAAGAAAAAACATCAAAAAAAATCCGGCTCCAACCACCTTTAGCGATTGTGCAGTCAAAGGTGGCTTTGCTATCGAGACTAACATAGCTCAACACTGTCTACGGCTTCATTGCGTGTGCTCGGGGTAGAAGTTTTGTATAAATGTATCGCTATGCTATTAAGTATTTTGATTTAAGTTCTTTTCTTTCTAAAAGATGAAATAGTATAACCCGATTGAAGCGTAATAATCAATCTGTAATGTATTGTATGTCTCATTCTTCTACCCTTTCCCGAGAGTCGATGACTACTCATAGCTATTAGCTTGACTACAAAGAAGAATTCGACCCAATGCTTTATTTCTATGCTAATTGATCCTAATTCGATATTAGAAGTATATTAACTTTTAACCCAATAACCGAATACTTTTGTTTGTAAATACTGTATATTTGATTCCATCCATAAATTTTCTTCTCTAAATTTGAATCTTAACAAAAATGCTAGTTCTAGTTCTTACTGTTCATACATTATGATATGAATATACAACACCAATTCGTTATGTATGGATGATGAGATTCTATCGATACAAAGCCAATTCCAATAGAATTCCAATAGACTTATTGGAGGGTCTCATTGGCGTGCATCAGTAGGAATTAAACCTACAAATTCGTCACACAAATCTACAATTTCTAATTGTGAGTTGGAACCCTACACGCTGTACTTTAAAAAAATTATTATTAAGATTATATGAAACTAGAGAGAGGATTGTAGTAAATTCTATTATCAAAATTCTTCAAATGTCCCCACCAAAGAACCAGCTGCGGGATCAATTCATTTTAAAAAGAATAAAAATAACAACTTTTTCATTTTCTTCTGTGTTCGTCCTTCAGCCTAAGAAGGTGAGGCTACAAGAGATGAAACTATAACACCATCTCAAAATCAGAGATCATCACATCAAGCCATGCCTCCCCCTGTTGCTGTCCTGATAATCTGGAACAGAGCTGTTCAATAACCAAACATCAGCATCAATAATAATAACATTTCACAGCAAGTTTGCTTGTCTCGTGATCAAAACGAGCAACATCGTAATCCCGAGCAACTTCAGTTAGAGAAAGATATTCAATTGGAACACGCAACCTTTGGACTCTCATTTTCAAACTCTAGCTAAGAGAGTGAAACAAGTATTGAGATCATGAAACTTCTGTTTATTTATTCGATGTTACCTAATGCTTATAAAGTCCTACAGATTGATTAAAACCATGTGAAACACAAGTATGGGATCTCCTCAGGCAGTATATCTACATATTCCTAGACACCATGAACAATATCTTGAGTGGAAAAAAAAAATCTAACATTTGAAAGTCATAAGATTTGACTGGTAAAGAGTTGAAACTTTGAGATAATCGGAGAGTGGGTTAAAATCAAGAGAATGAAAGAATCGCTTTGGATATTATAAGGGGTGTGTTTAGATGGCCAAAATCACTTTTGTCATTGTCAAAATCATCCCTTTCCCTTTCCATTGATTGTCTGGCAAATTAAAAAATTGATTTTAGGAAAGTTTAAATTGATTTTTAAGGGAAAGTTTAAATTGATTTTTACCATCCAAGTGATACCTTAAAAATCAATTATATATAAATCTCTTTTTGTCAAAGTCAATCATTCTCAGTATATTTCCTCAAAACTTCTGTATATTTCCTAAGTATATTTCCTCAACAAAATAAACGTCCACCATGGAGCAATCTTTCTTTTATAGATGGGAGAAAAATCAAATCATCCTAAAACCAGCCAACTTTCACAAGGAGGGTCCTTATTATTATTATTACAATCTTTCTTCCAGGAGTAACTCCTGATTAAAATTGATTTTTAAAATATCACTTGAGTGGTGATTTTGGAAACACTCAGGCCACGTCCTGCAAAACCCTACAACACACCGTTGTAGAAAATACTAGATCTTTTTATCCTGGACTGGTAGCCACCTGAGATTTAAACCCCTGCCCCAAAGTCCCTTCCCCAAGCCCCACTGCGAATAGACTAACCAATGGTGGTTAAGGAGTGACCAACTTTTACCTTCTATCTTTATATGTTTATATGTATGTGTAGTCTTTCAATTTCAAAAATTAAAAGGGGTAAATTAAAGGAAAACTTGAAAGTTCTTTTCTTTTTAACATATTATTTTGATCTAAGACAAAATAAGGTATTGGCCCCTCCTTTGTCCTTGGCTCCATCCCTACCTAGGACTAAGACTCAGATACTTGGTTTATAAGAAGTTATCCATAACTGAACTACAGGTTATTTATTAGAGAGCAAATCTATATTATATAAATAATACAAAGGATTAGTCTTACATGATCCAATGACGACAAATACGAAGAATCCAAGCAGCAGAGGCCCAACAGGATAGTCCTTCCCCTTCTTAACGGTTGTCTCTGGAACAGCTCCTCTCTTTGTGATATTCCTCTCGAACCTCACCACCTTGCGGTCTGCAAGACGCCTTGATGTTGTCTACAAAAGCAGAAGGATATAGACTTAAACTTAACCAATTATTGTTCAAAAAGGCAGAGCAAAATATCAAAATTGACTAAGTAGTGCATTTCAGCAGCACTAACAATTCTAAACAAAATCAAATTGCTACAAAAGCTCGAACTTTCTCCATTCAGAACAATGCCCTTAGGCACCTTATCACATATCAACCATTGATATCTGAAAAACATGGCCTAATTTTTAAATTTTAGACTTGTGAAAACAACCATCAGCTTAGATCAAGGGCCCAAGTGGGAATACTTATTTCCAATTATTCTTCTGTAAACGAGTTCAATTTCACAAAACTTAAAATTAGAATAAACAAACAAGATTTCCCATTTGAGTGTCCAGTATTTTTCATTGCCATCACAACTGTTCCTTCTAATAATCTACATTTCGTTTTTCCTCTACTCTTATAAAGCTTCTCAATAAGGTTTCATCAAAATATTTAGGCCAATACTGAATTCAAAAGCCTTTTCAGGATTGCTCAGCCAAAGCTATCGTTTACCCGCGTCATACTAAGTCTAAAGAGAGACAATCAAAGGCAGAGAACGAAAAGTCAACCATTAAAAAACCCTATAATCGCAACATAGATCAGATTGAGACTGAGTTCTCGACAGAGAAAACAGAAAGAGAATCACAATCAACAATAACAAATGCACAACGAAAGATCAAGAAGATGCGTATGAATCAGAAATCCAGAACCTAGAACAATCACTCGCGATTACAATCTCAGAGGGAAACAGAAATGGAAGAAAATTACCATGATCGGCAGGAAATTGGGTAGCCGGAGACGATAAAATCAGGAGAGAGATTAGAAGAATTGCAGTCGATCCTCCTGGCTGGCCGGCCGGCGAGTCTTCTCTCCCGATCGTACTCTCCGGTCACCGTTCTTCTCCAACAGATTGGTCCTTCCTATCGTAATTTCGGGAATTAAATAGTTCGATTTAATGGCTGGCATTGATACAATTCCCGGACTTTGCGTCACCGTCAGACTATTATTGGGTGCCACCACGTTTTGTGTCATACGTGGCTCTTTTCTATTGGATGCGTCCGTAACACCCGGCTATCGCTTTTGAGACATCTGGTTTTTCCAATAAAACCTTTTTTTTTTCTAAACAACAGTGAAAATATGAATTTTTACCCAAATATAAATTCCAAACTTTCAATTCTATCAAATTGAATTCTACCCTTCAAATCTGTTATCATTTTTACCATTAGTTCCATTTCCGCTTAAGTTCACCTACCAATTTTAATCTTTTTAAAAAAATAAACAGATACCCCTCTCAAAATTCACTCATTCACACACCCCAACTTTTAAACCAGAATCAAGATTCTATGGGGAGCATGCCGTGAGGTTATGCAACGTACCGTACCTTGATTATGAGTTCTCTTTATTAGGTGGAATTCTAAAGCTGTTAGAATATATTTTATTTTTCGAATTCCTTAGATCATGGAATATTTACCTCGATAAGTCCATTATGCAACGCAACAAGAGGATGTCGAGATTAGACGAGCCAAGCCGACTTAGAGCTAATCGGCTTGGCCCATGGCCAACCCAAAGAATGGTCGACTGGGTCGCAAGCCGATCGGAGACTGGTCGGCTTGTGGTTGCTCCTTGGTCGGATTCACACTTAGGTATCGACCTCCGAGTTCTCAAGCGGCCTTTTGAGATTTGGTTAGCTTGTCTGAATTTGATCATTTAATTCTTTTTTTGGTCTTGCTTCGTTTAATTTATGTTGACATGAACTTAATTTAGTGACAATTGGTACTTGTCTCTAACTAAAAGGTTATGAGTTCGAATCTCCTTTCCCTACTCGTCTGAATTTTAACTTAGCTTTAATTTTGTGGATTTTTATTTATAGTCATCATGCTTTGGTTAAAATCTTTCCTAGCATCCTTGTTGATATAAGATGTTAAAAATATTTATCATAGGACATAGTTTCAACAAACATGACATATACGGTAGAGACTTGAACCAATAATCTTTAACAACGTTCTTTTTAATTTGTTAAGCTATTTCTAAGTTCGCTATTCACAAAATAAGTTGAACCGAGTAGTCAATGTTTAATTATTCCTTTTTATTAGTTTATACTACTTATTTTAGCTTATTCAAATTTAGTTTTTCCCCCTTAATATCGAATATACATAGCAATGGATAAAAATATTAAAAATTCTTTTTGGATATTCTTTAACTACATCAAACAAACTATAATTCTAATCAAAGGAAAAAAAAAACCTCCATGAAATATTTCAAGTTTCAAACCATGACTGGTTTTTTTAATGCATATAATTCTTGACAAATAAAAACCTGATTTCTTATAATTTCTTAACCATTTATATTAATTTGGTCTAAGTGTTGTATATAAAAAATATTATCCCAGACGAGGATATCACAACTGGTCAAAGCATTATTCACCTGTCTATGAGTTGGAGATTTGATCTCCACTTTGTTGAACTAAAAAAAGAAAAAAAAAACACAAATCACATCCATGTATGTATATTTAAAATTACATTTATATGTATTTATATTTCTTTTGACATAAAATTCTAAATCTAATATTTTCTATACTAAAAGAGTTAACTTTGTGATTATCGTTATAGAGATATTTCTTTACCTGTAGCCCATGTGGCATCTCCTTAATTTAATAAATTTGGCCCCTCAAAAAAAAAATTGTGATAATAAGGACGTGGTTGACAAAAATCATTAGGTTGAAATTAAAAATTTTCACAGACAAGGAATAAGATTAAAAAGTGACATAAAAATTAGGGGCTAAATTATATATTTAGCGAAATTATTGATTATAAAGAGCTAAACAATACCATTTGTATGGAACATACCATCTAGATGGATTGGACCTAGGAATAGAGTTTCAAGCCCAATTATATTTCAAGGCCCAAAATCACACATATTGGGCCTAGCCACTGTCAACATGTTCATTTAAAAGCCAGGCCCAACTTGCATCAACCCAAACATGCAATTGCACTCTTATTTAAGAGAGTGAAATGATAATCTCTTTTTGTTTCTCATTTTCTCTTTTCATATTTTTTTATACAACATTAAAAATAATAATTTAGAGTTCGTTGTCTTAAAAAATAATAATAAATAATTTATACCTTATTTAAGTATCAAATAATAAAGAATAAAGGATTCATCACAAATATGCTGATTCAGTGGTAATTGACATCTCCAAACAAAAGATTATGAGTTTGATCTCCACTTCACATGTTGTAACGAATCAAACTATTTTTAGGTTGGATAACTTTAAGGCAGGTTTAACTATGCTCATTTTCATTTCAAAATTTCATTCCTTCTATTAAATTTTCTATTAAAATGAAGACTGATAAATGTGATAGGACAATGGCTTGTAAAAATAGAAATACCCAGGGGCACAAGTGCAAAAATTTCATTTTTAACTCTTACGTTTTAAAATATATTGTTTCATTTAATTTTGTTAGCTTCCCAAGTTAAAATGAAAATTGAAGCGTGACAGTGAGTTGTAGAAGGGTCCAAATCATATTTGGAAATGGAAATTTGGAATAAAATATTATTCATCCTCTCACTATCGAAAGATTTGAGGGAAAAGAAAACTTCGAAGGGGTGTAAGTAAGCCATGGACAACGAACATGGTTTCCTTCTTGCGATTAATTAACAAATTCTAGCGGAAGGAAAAGAAGGAAGAGGCAAACAAAGAAACTCAGAAAGATCATTACTATTACTCAATAAAATTTGTTACTTTTGAGGATGGAGATTGTCTCTCTCCACCAAACAATGTATTCTTTGTTATTCTCTTGGTTTCTATGAAACTATGCTTTTCACTGATCTCACTATTTCTACTGTTATAAAAAAATAAGCGAGACGATCTAACTAGGCGACAGAACACCGGAAAAAGTCAAGAAGTGGGCACGAATTAGGAAAGGGGGCCGACACCTGGCGACCCGAGCCGGCCCTCGACCAACCTCCTTGGCGTCGAGCAGTTCTCGGCCCCTTGGCTGAGAACCCTGTTGGGATTATGGAGCCAAAACAGAAAACCTATATCCTATTAAGAAAAGGATTTTTCAACACTATTACCAATTCCTATGGAAGTAGGATATTCTTGTCTTATAAGGATTATATTGTTTTCCTATAAGAATCAGGATATTTGGCCTCTTATAAATAGAACCATTATGTTAAGGTTTCATTTTGTACAGAACCTAAAAGGGACTTGAGTGGTTGTGGGCAGTGTTTAAAAGGATTCTGTATCTAGTGGGTTTAGTGAGTGTTTTTCATTCCTGTACCTAAATATAGTTTGTTATAATACTTAGAAGCTAGAGGGCTTTTGTTGGGACCTCTAGGGGATATTTTTGGGCAAAGTTTTGTATTCTAATCCTTAAACAATTATTAGTGAATTACCCACATCTGAATGGAAGACTGGACGTAGCCCTTAGTGGTGAACCAATATAATTTGTTGTGTCGTTATTCTTGTGCTTTTACAGTTTTCTTCCTATTTTCATATATTTTGGTTGTGTTTGGATATTTCTGTGGAAGGGAAAATTATTCAGGGTCTTCAATTTCCCAACAAGTGGTATCAGAGCTGTAAGGTTGCAGCATCATGGGTGACAGNGATATTTCTGTGGAAGGGAAAATTATTCAGGGTCTTCAATTTCCCAACAAGTGGTATCAGAGCTGTAAGGTTGCAGCATCATGGGTGACAGATATTAAGCACATCATTATTATGATGGGGTCCTGAAGTTCAATGGGGAGAATTTCAGTTTTTGGAAGATGCAGGTAAAGGATCTTCTTACATGCAAGAAGATACACAAGACTTTAGGGGAGAGACCAGAAGGGATGCCGGACAAGGATTGGAATGAGATGGATGAGCAGGCCGTTGCGAACATCAGAATGTCGTTGTCGATCAATGTTTGTAGTCTGGTGGCAAAAGAGACTACAGCGAAATATTTGTTGAAGGCCTTGCAACACAGGTATAAAAAACCTTCTGCTAATACAAAAATACTTCTATGAACGAAGTATTTTAATATCCACATGGAGGAGGGAACTTCGGTGAATTACCACATTAATGAACTCACTGATATCTTGGACAAGTTAGAAGGGATGGGTGTCAAGATTGACGAGGAGGTGAAAGCTATGAGGCTGTTGACGTCTTTGCCTGACAGTTGGGAGACGATGAAGACCGCGGTGTTGAATTCGCTCGAGGAAAATAGCTTGAAATTTACAGCTATTTGTGATGCCGCCTTATCTGAGGAAGCCCAGAGAAAATTAGGGAAAATGTCTGCATCTACTTCAGGGGCAGAAACTGGGGTTGAATCAGCTTTGGTAGCTCAGAACAAAGGGAAGACAAAGATGAGTTACAATGGGAAACAGCAGCAGAGATATAACAAGGGTAGTGGGAGTTCCAGTGGAGAAGTAGAATGTTATTACTGCCACAAGAAGGGACACATTAAACGCTTTTGCAGGAAGTTTAAAGAAGATCTTGAGAAGGGGAACATTACTGCAAATGTTGTAACAGAAGAAGAACAAATTGAAGAGTTTCTAGCTTGTGTTCAGAGGAACATATCTATAGACCAGTGGGTGGTTGACACTGCAGCATCAGCGCACGTTGCTTCAGGCAGACGTTGGTTCTCATCTCTTACTGTAAGTAATTATGGCTCGGTGAAGATGGGGAATGGGAGTATCTCCAAGGTGAGAGGAATTGTAGATGTTTGTTTGAAGACAGGCGAAGGGGCCGAGTTGGTGCTACGAGGTATCGAGTATATTCCTAGCTTCAGATTCAATTTGTTATCCGCAGGGAAGCTAGATGACGATGGCTACAGCAGTGAATTTAGTGGGGGTTGCTGGAAGCTCAAGAGGGAATCCAGGGTGGTGGCAACAGGCCACAAGAGATCTTCTGTTTATGTGTCAGAATTTGGGGTTGCCAAGGGTT